TTTTTGTTTTCTTATGATCTCTCTCTTTCTCTCTCTCTTTTTTTTTTTTTCAATTTTGTGGCTTTTAAAATCACTGTCAATGCAACTTCTTGATCTTTTAATTGATTTTGACAGAGGAGTACTTCTTCCTTGGTTCTCTTGGAGTTTTTTGCTTTTTTTTTTGTTTCTAATATCTCTTTATCATACACACACAAGAACAAACATTTCCGTGTTACACATTTGTTCACTTCTACATGTGTGTTTAATGTAATGGGTATTCTTATACTAGTGATAGTAGAAGATGAATTTAAAATACATTTACTAGTGTATTACAAAGAGCACCACATAGACAACTTTTGATTTAAATTTGATGTTATAGATATAATTATTTTTAAGTTTCTCAAAGGTTATACCTTGCGTATGTTATCTTAATATTAATTCATAGAAATGACTTGAAATAAGACAGAAATTATGAAATAAAAGATGATCACACACCTTCCAAAAATATTTTTACTAACCAGGGACACACTCTTTCCAAACAACTAAATCTATGCGGAACCTTTAATCTGCCTTTGTTCTTTCTTACGCACACAGACAGACACACTTGAGCATCTACTTAAGTATTTATGTTATCGGATTTAAATGAATGGCATGATGTGACTTGGCCACTGGGTTGGGACTGTACTTTGTTTTTATTATGCCTGATTAACTTTTTAAGGGGTTGAAAACAATTAATCCCCTAGTTGATCATGTTTTGTATGAGGAGAGATGTATAAATCAAATGACAAATTTTAGTGTATGCATTGCTTTTAAAAGTTTTTGTTGTCTTTGCTTCTTAAAAATTATAAAATAGACCTTGTGACTTGATATTTGGGTGGTTATTCCTACTGTTAAATTGTCTTATGTTTGTGCAGAGGAAGGGCAGGATGAATATGAGAAGGATGGATTTATAGTAGATGATGTTGAAGAAGAGGAGGAAGAAGAGGAGGAGGAGGAGGAGAGACAAGACAGTGATGAGGAGAGGCAGAAAAAGAAGAAAAGAAGGAAGAAAAAAGTGAGTATTTTTCCCCGTTATCTGCCAACTTTCATTTAATGCTTTACATAGTTGGCGAAGAAGTTACCTGCCAGCAAAAGGGTAGAAATAGAATGAGAATGATGGGTTCATATTTTACTGCTGTTGCACATTTATAAACTTTTCAGGGCTTCATATATTGAATAAAGAAACTTTGCAAATTCGAATTTTTATTTCTTTTTTTTGTGGGATATTTGGCAATCCAGTGAAGGGTGAGTTTCAACATCTAATCTTTTTTCTCTTTTGTAATTTTGATAATATTTGTAGGGAATCTGAGGATGTTCTTGATGAAGATGATTATTTGCTTCTCCAGGATAACAATATTAACATTCAAAAGGTTGGTAGTTTTATTTTTGTTTTCTCTTGCCAAAAAAGAAAATAGGGAACTAGTTGCTTATTAATGAGATTTTTGCTTTACAAATGGTAAATAGAAAAAGTTCAAGAGGTTGAAGAAAGCTCAGAAAGATTCGGAAGATGGTCGATTTGGCTTATCTGATGAGGAATTTGATGGGAGTGGCAAAGTTGGACGAACTGCTGAGGAGAAGCTCAAAAGAAGCTTATTTGGTGATGATGAAGGTATATATACCTCTACTTCCTGCAGATGTTTTCATATTTGGGTCAGTTTTTCAAACTCATTGTAAACTCTGATATGTAGGTATGCCGCTTGAAGATATGGCTGAAGAAGAGGAACCAGTAGAAGAGGAAGAGGATGGAGACATTGGAGAAGATGATGAAATGGCAGATTTTATTGTGGATGAAGAAGAGGTGGATGAACATGGTGCTCCTGTCAGGTAAACTGTTTGCTGTCCGCATATGTTTTGTTCTTCTCCAAATGAGAATGCATTTTTAATAATTGACATTTTGCTTAGACGGAGGAAGTTGAAGAAAAAGAAGTCTAGGCAGGCACCGGGAGTTTCTTCATCTGCTTTGCAGGAAGCTCATGAAATATTTGGTGATGTTGATGAACTCCTGCAACTTCGAAAGCAAGGTTTAGATTCTAGTGAATGGAAAGAAAGGAGACTTGAGGATGAGTTTGAACCAATCGTTCTTACTGAAAAGTATATGACAGAGAAGGATGATCAGATTCGCATGACTGATATTCCAGAAAGAATGCAGGTATTGATGCTGTGTTTTCCAGTTTATGTTTATGGTCTTAGATTTCCACTTGGTGTCTTCATGTAATCATGATTTTATTGTTATTGTATTTTGTAGATATCTGAGGAAAGCACCGGTACTCCCCCTACTGATGAAGTTAGCATAGTGGAAGAGAGTAGCTGGATATACAATCAACTTACAACTGGTTCAGTACCTTTATTGAAGCAGATTAGTGGAGGGAAAGATTTGTCTATAAACAAGGATGACATTACTAAATTTTTGGAATTACATCATGTGCAGAAGTTAGATGTTAGTAACTTCTTAATTATCCTATGGGTTAATATATTCTTTTAGCTAATTATTCTCTTAGTATGCTGGAATTCATTATTTGTTTCAGATTCCCTTCATTGCTATGTATCGGAAGGAGCAGTGCCTGAGCCTACTGACAGATCCTGACCAGGGTGAAATTGATGATAATAATGTTGAAAAATCTGAAAGAAACCCTACAATAAAGTGGCACAAGGTAAATGGAATTTCAGGGGAGCAGCATTTTTATTACCTGAATTAATATAGAAGGTATTATTGAATTAAGATAGGAAGTAAGATTTGTGAATAATGGCCTGAATTTCTATTTAGATACTTTGGATGATTCGGGACTTGGACAGAAAGTGGTTACTTCTTCAGAAGCGTAAAAGTGCACTTCTTTCGTACTATAATAAAAGATTTGAAGAAGAATCCCGTCAAATTTATGACGAAACAAGACTTAATTTAAACCAGCAGCTTTTTAAATCGATTCTTAAGTCTTTAAGCGATGCGGAAACAGAAAGGGAGGTTGATGATGTTGACTCAAAATTCAACTTACATTTCCCTCCGGGTGAGGTAGGTGTTGAAGGACAATATAAGAGGCCCAAGAGGAAATCACAATATAGTATCTGCAGCAAGGCTGGCCTTTGGGAAGTCGCAAGCAAGTTTGGTTACAGCGCTGAGCAAATTGGATTACATTTATCTTTAGAACAACATGTGGTAAGTATGCTTCATATTCTGGTCATTATTCTGTTGTTTATGGGCTTAATCTTTCTACTTGATTTTGTTTTAGAGTGACGAATTGGAGGATGCTAAGGAAACACCAGAGGAGATGGCTTCAAACTTTACATGTGCAATGTTTGAAACTCCTCAAGCTGTCCTTAAAGGGGCCAGGCACATGGTATGTATTGTCTACTTGTCCATGCTCAGAGAACACGTGTTTTACTTGTTCCTTTAACATAATTTCATATCCCTTATCTTATCTTACCACCAAGATGCTAGCCCAAGTAGTAATGCTATCTTTTCTCCAATACGGTGGCCCAAGCGGTGAGGACTTGGTCTTCCCATTCATGGGTTTGAATCCGCATGCGGTAGCAGTTCACGCTTCTAGCCGCTGTGGGGAAGGAGCCTTATGGACAGTATTGGACACTCTGCAGTAGTTCCTGTGATCATGTCCAAGGATGTTGATGCTAATCGCCCTTTTTTTATCTTTTAGTAAAAGAAAACTTTTTTGTTTATCTTGTCCATGCCTGTTTTTGTTTCTTTGGGTCTAGGCTGCTGTTGAAATAAGTTGTGAGCCATGCGTCAGGAAGTATGTCCGGAAGGAGTTCATGGACAATGCTGTTGTATCAACAAGTCCGACTGCAGATGGAAACATGGCCATAGATTCGTTTCATCAGTTTGCAGGGGTGAAGTGGTTGCGTGAGAAGCCGTTGAACAGTTTTGAGGATGCACAGTGGCTCCTTATCCAAAAGGCTGAAGAGGAGAAGCTTCTTCAAGTCACCTTTAAAATGCCAGAAGAGTCTCTAAATAAGTTACTTAAGGAATTTGGCATTTATCTTAGTCATGGCGTTAGCAAATCTGCTCAATTGTGGAATGAGCAAAGGAATTTGATCCTGAAGGATGCCCTTTTTGGTTTCCTTTTACCTTCAATGGAGAAAGAAGCAAGATCCTTTGTTAACTAGCAGAGCTAAAAGTTGGTTACTTTTGCAGTATGGAAACGTTTTATGGAATAAAGTTTCTGTAGGGCCCTATCAAAAGAAGGAAGTGGATATAAACTCTGATGATGAAGCTGCTCCAAGGGTCATGGCTTGCTGTTGGGGCCCTGGAAAGCCAGCAACCACCTTTGTAATGTTAGATTCATCTGGGGAGGTGCTTGATGTGCTTTACACTGGATCTCTCACGTTACGGTCTCAAAATATTAATGACCAGCAGCGTAAGAAAAATGACCAACAACGAGTTTTGAAATTTATGACGGACCACCAGCCGCATGTTGTTGTTCTTGGAGCTGTGAATTTGTCTTGTACTCGACTGAAGGATGATATTTATGAGGTAAGTATTACCATGTTTTACATATTCTATTTTGTTATTATTTTTTATTTTCTTTCGTTTTTACAACATATTAAAAATTCCGTAAATGAGTTTCTCAGAGTTTAATTATATGCCAAGTGAAAATACTATTGAAATTAGTTTCAATGTTTGATTGAATTCTGATACTACTAGGTCCTATAAATACTCAGTCTGGAATATCCTGAGATGTTGGTTTTACTAGATGCTTGCCTTTACCTGTGCTAGGGAAAGCATCCCTCAACTGTTATGCAGATTAGATTATTGCCTTTGGGCACCTGGGCACCTTTCTGTTGACAACAAAGATGCATTAATTTTTCTGTTGTTCTTCAGTTTTTGAATGAGTTGCAAACATGGTTGGCTCTGCATGATATTCATCTCATGGTTATGCTTTTTTATTTGTATTAATTGATCTGCCGATTTAAGTGCTTTTTTTCCAGTCAGCTGTGAAGCACTTCACATGTCTGATCTTTTCTATCTGATTGCATTTTTAATATTATAGTATTAGATTACTCCAAAATTTTATAGATTCTTCTGAATATGTCATTTGAGTAAATAGGAGATTTATCTTCTTTGTTTATCAAAAAAAGAAATCATACTATCTTTTAGACATTTATCTTCCCATGAGATATGATTCTACCTACTGATTGCAGCATACTTCTCACTTACCTAATTTTTATCCCTTTTTTCCGTCACCATCGTCAGATAATAACTTTGTGTATGCTGTAGCACTTATATTTGTGTTTGTTCTTTTTCCATAAAATGTGCTAGTTTTACTTCTCATATTAGCTTAATACGTTTGAGTGAAGCATAATTTGTCGTATATGAGGAATGGCCATCCCACTTGAATTCATTAATGTTGGGAACGCAACCCCTATCCTATACCTTAGGAATCTAATTCCTAGGTTGTGGAAATCAAGGTGAGAGTTGTGGTAATAACTTAAAACAATAAATTATATTTTAAAATGTATTAGAGCTAAAATGGAAATTAGAACTAGAAATTGATGAAAAATGAGCTAAACACGACTTGAAGGCTTTATGCTGATAGGATCCCTGAAACAAAGATGCTGGTTCCTCATGATTTTCCAGAATGTTGTCCAAATTCATGAAGTTGAAACTACAGTAGTGCAGCATGTGCGTTGTTTTCCATGTTTTCTTTCATAGATTTGAGTTGCTCAATATTTTTGCTATACCCGATCTGTAAATTATCTCCTGTTTCCAGCTTATTATCAGTCAAATCCTAGCCTAGATAAATTTCTTGTTTTTTAGGCAAGTAAAATGATGTTTTTGTCATTGCACATTGGTTCTCTTTGTCTCGTGTCTATTAAGAGTTATTTGGTCCTGTACAAAGCAGGGGAAGTCGTGGCATTTTATTACATCTACCTTCCATAGGTTTGCAACATTTAATGGTTTGATAGTGTTTTAATGTTGACTAAATAGTGTCATATATCTTACCCAAAGTTGGTTCATGCATTCTGAGGCTTAGTTCATCACTTTTTTATCAGATCATCTTCAAGATGGTGGAGGAAAATCCTCGGGATGTTGGGCATGAGATGGATGAACTGGGCATTGTATATGGGGATGAGTCTCTTCCCCGACTCTATGAAAATTCTCGAATTTCATCTGATCAGTTACCTGGGCAGTCAGGTAATTTAGTTAAAATCTTTGAATTTGGGTATTGTATTTCTGGTACAATCAAATTCCTTTTCATATGTTGTCAGGCATTGTCAAGCGGGCTGTTGCTCTTGGGCGTTATCTTCAGAATCCATTGGCCATGGTTGCAACGTTGTGTGGACCAGGAAGGGAAATCTTATCTTGGAAACTTTGTCCTTCTGAGAACTTTCTCACTCCTGATGAGAAATATGGGATGGTTGAACAGGTTATGGTAGATGTGACAAACCAGGTGGGCCTCGACATAAACTTGGCTACAAGTCATGAATGGTTATTTGCTCCTTTACAATTCATCTCTGGGCTTGGGCCTAGAAAGGCAGCATCTCTGCAGCGATCCTTGGTAAGAGCTGGAACAATTTTTACCCGAAAGGATTTTGTGACAGTCCATGGACTTGGTAAAAAGGTGTTTGTCAATGCAGTTGGCTTTTGCCGCATCCGGCGAATTGGGCTGGCTGCTAGCAGTAGCCAGTTCATTGATTTGTTGGATGACACTAGAATACATCCAGAATCTTATGGTCTTGCACAAGAGATGGCAAAAGATGTCTATGAGGAAGATGTCCGAGGTGATACAAATGACGACGAGGATGCAGAGATGGCAATAGAGCATGTTAGAGACCGGCCTAGTTTACTTAAAAGCCTTTATCTTCCTAATTATCTGAAAAGCAAGAATCGTGAGAATAAGAGAGAAACTTTTTATGATATACGAAGAGAATTAATGCATGGTTTTCAAGATTGGCGCAAACAGTATAAAGAACCAAGTCAAGATGAGGAATTTTATATGATATCAGGTGAAACTGAAGATACACTAGCTGAAGGTAGACTTGTGCAGGTCTCTGTTCGGCGGGTACAAGGGGGGAGAGCTATCTGTGCACTAGATTCTGGATTGACTGGTATGCTTATGAAGGAAGACTATTCGGATGATTGGAGGGATATTGCTGAGTTGTCTGATAGGCTTCATGAAGGTGACATTTTGTCCTGCAAGATCAAATCAATTCAAAAGAATAGGTATCAGGTGTTGCTCGTTTGTAAAGATAGTGAGATGAGAAGTAACCGGCATCAGCATGTCCTGAATCTTGATCCGTACTACCATGAGGATCAAAACAGTCTACAGATTCAACAAGATAAAGCTCGGAAAGAGAAGGAGCTTGCAAAGAAACACTTCAAGCCTAGGATGATTGTTCATCCTCGCTTTCAGAATATAACGGCTGATGAAGCAAGAGCGGTATGTTGTCATTTTAGTTGTGCTTGATGAATAGAATTGATTCATGAACTTTATGATTAATCATCCAGTTTCTTAGAATACTGAAGGGACAAGAAGCCCTATGGCAATGCCCATAACTCAGTACTGATCTTGGGCACTTACAAGAAGGGCTCTGGGTTACACAGTGAACTCTTCCAAGGGCATGTAGGAAGTCAATTGTTTATTCTACTATTGCATATCCACCTTTTCAAAAGATATTATCTACGTAACTGTTAAAAGTTACTTAATTGATGTATTGTCAAATATTTATTTACTTATTCTTTCAGGGAAAGTTTTCTCAAAGGCTTCAGTGATTCATTAATCCTTACAATATAGTGTGCATTACTGGATGTATAGCAGTATGAATTGCAAGTTTTCCAATGGCAAGCAAGAAAATGAGATAAACTATTTGCATTCACTGGTTTATCTCTGCTAATAGGCTTAATGTATTTTCAGTTTCAGTTTGGTGCAACCAAACAACTAAGACTTCCATTGTTTGAAATTTCTGCATCTGTAATAAATGTTGGTTCAGTTGTCTCATGAACTGTTTAATGCTTCTCTGGCATCTGGTGATTTTCGTTGTAACAAATTTTTCTGCTTAAGGCCCAGAACTGGGTAGTTCATTGGTACTTGATTTTGGGAAACAACGTGCTGGCTTAACTTAGTGTTCCTCAGGAGAACCATGCTGGCATTTGATTTGCAATTCTTTATGGCATTATTCTTTATTGAGCTCATTTGTAAATATTTTTATAAATTGGTGGTACCCCCTTGATACCGATGATTTAATGTACTTGGTATACTTTTTGTTTTAAAAAAATGTTTATTGAGTCCTGAATGTTTGACAGTACTTGTCCGACAAGGAGCCTGGTGAGAGTATCATTCATCCAAGTTCTCGTGGGCCTTCTTATTTAACTTTGACACTCAAAGTTTATGATGGAGTGTATGCTCACAAGGAAATAGTTGAAGGGGGAAAGGAGCACAAGGACATCACGAGCTTGCTTCGTATTGGAAAGACATTAAAAATTGGGGAGAACACTTTTGAGGACTTGGATGAGGTGAGTCCCATTTCTTATTAAATTATTTTAGAAGTTTCTTCTGTTATTGCTTTGTAGATAAAGTTATTAATTGGAAGTGTAGGAGGTTCCACAATATTGATGTAACCATATGGTTAACAATATTTTTGATGAAAGTAATTAGATCGCTGTCATGCTTAGGATGTCTGTTTTGGTGCTAGTTTATATGAAATAGACAGTGCAATTGTACAGAGCTTTAGTTGCTAACTGGCTACCTTAAAATGTAGGTTATGGATCGATATGTTGATCCTTTGGTGTCTCAACTCAAGGCAATGCTTAATTATCGGAAATTCAAGATGGGAACCAAAGTAGAAGTTGATGAGCTCCTAAGGATTGAGAAGTCTGAGAATCCTTCAAGGATTGTTTATAGTTTTGGCATATCACATGAGCATCCTGGAACTTTCATTTTAACTTATATACGGAGCACAAATCCCCACCACGAGTATATTGGTTTGTATCCCAAGGGATTCAAGTTCCGGAAAAGAATGTTTGAGGACATTGATCGTCTTGTGGCTTATTTCCAGAGGCATATTGATGACCCTGTGAATGAATCAGCACCATCAATTAGGTCAGTTGCTGCTATGGTACCAATGCGAAGCCCTGCAACCGGGGGCTCTTCCGGAGCAGCTGTCGGTAGCAGCTGGGGTGGTTCAACTAATGATGGGGGCTGGAGGGCCCAATCTTTTGACAGGGATCGGTCCTCTACACCCGGGTCAAGATCAGGTAAACTTCTAATATATTGAACATGTTCTGTCTTCATTTTTGCAGCAATATTTTGGATAAAATTTTAGAGAAACATGAGAACTATGCACGCAATTTCGACCTGTGGGCATGTATATTCTTCTGTTCCATGTAAGCACTAGATGACCTTTTCACCAGTGACTATATCTTTTGTATCTCGTCATGCACATGGAGATGCACGCACAC